CCTCCTCCTCCTCACCTGCCCTTTTTCTCCCTGTCCTACTCTCTCCCTTATCCTCCTCCCTTACCAACCATGGTAGGAGATCCCTTATATTCTCATACCATTTAATGTAACTGTATCTACTACTCCTACTATTATTTGTTTTTGTTTCTTAATCGTCGTGTAATTCGAATTACGAAACTTTCGATAGGAATAAATAAGAAATCAATCAAAGTTCCAAATCACACGCCATAATAAATACAATGAAAATCTTATTGTGTGTGTGTGTGTTTTTTTTATGTATGTTTGTAATGTTATGAGTTACGTGCATTTGTGTCTGTTGTATATATGTTTGTGTGTTTTGTATAAACGTAATATAAAAAGGTGGTGCCAGTTTTAATGGTAAATCACAGCAATAGGGCTCCTCCATTCCTCTATCACCCCCCCCCACCCCCACCGTTTTTGGTATCCCATAGAAAATATAGAAAGTGCTCGTAAAAAGGACAATAAATTACTTTCATTTCGTTGAGGAAAATCTGGGTCGATGGTGTGTATCGGCATATTGGCACCTTGCACCGTTCAAACTTGACATTTTCAGATCGGATATATATCACTGAATGTGTACGTAGTAAAAACAGTGGGGTTTTTTTTGTTTGTTTGTTTGTTTAACAACAAAATCAATTATTTATAGACGACGACTAATTAAATAGCGAAAAGTTAAGAAAGACAAATAATTATTTAATTTGTTTTGTTTTTCTTTATTTCGTAAGAAAATTTGATCTTATTTGAATTTAAATTATTTTACACATTACGAAGGTAATAAGATATTATTATTATTATTATTATTATTGTTATTATTATATTGTATTGAAGAGAAAAATAATAAAATAATAAAAACTAAAAAATAGAAGGATAATAAAATAGAATAATAATTTTTCTTCCTGTCAAAGATTTCATAATTTCAATTGAAATATTTTACTGTAAAAAAAAAATATTTAAAATACAACATAACTTAATATTATTATTATTATTATTATTATTATTATTATTATTATTATTATTATTGTTATTATATTGTATTGCATAAGAAAAATAATAAAAAATAAAAAATACAAAGTTAATAAAATAAAATAATAATTTTTCTTCCTATCAAAAATTTCATAATTTCAATTAGAATATTTTACTGTAACAAACAAATTTAAAATACAACATAACCCATTATTATTATTATTGTTATTATATAGTATTGCATAAAAAATTAATAAAAAATAAAAAATACAAAGTTAATAAAATAGAATAATAATTAATTATAAATAATTAACATATAACATATTATTGTTATTATTATATAGTATTGCATAAGAAAAATAATAAAAAATAAAAAATACAAAGTTAATAAAAAAGAATAATAATTGTTCTTCCTATCCGAAAATTTGACAATTTCAATTAGAATATTTTACTGTAACAAACAAATTTAAAATACAACATAACCCATTATTATTATTATTAATATTATAATTATTATTATTTTTATTATAATATATGCATTCCTTAGAATGTGTAAGATTGTAATAAAAAAACAAAAAAATCTAACAAAAATATAACTTGTTATAAACAAACTAAGATATAAGAAACTGACGATTCACATTCCCCTTCCAGCCCATTTTTTTTTTGTTCTTTTTTTCTACCTTCATACCATTCACCCTTCTACCCCTCCGTTTTCAATGCAATAAGGATGGTGGGATTATAATCAAGTGATTTTTACGACGCGCAGTAACGGTATGGCCAATATTTGCGGATCAGGGTGGAGCCTGAACCAACGTCGTCGATGTACTCTTCTTTTAAGTGAAGCAAAAAAAAAAAAAAAAGAAAGTCGATCTGGGTCGTACGTTGGTTCTAAGGGTGTATAGAAAAGGAAGGGAGGATAGGGATAGTTTCTTCGTGTGTACCTCCTTGACGACTAAGACGACTAGGACGACTAGGACGACTAGAACGACTAATTTCCTAGAGTATACGTGTTTCCGTAACTATTCTTAGACATTTCATTTTTATTTTATAGTTTCCTTTTCTCGTACAAGAAAAAAAAAAAAAAGAAAAAAGAAAAAGATGAAGTACGAAATAAAATTGAATAAAAAAAATCAAAATCAAAATTAAATTAAATTAAATTAAGTATATAATTATTGATTTAATATATATTTTTTTTTTTAATTATATTTTTTTTTTTAATTATATTTTTTTTATTATATAAAATTTAAATAATATATATAATTAATATAAATTTTATAAATATATATATATATAAATTTTACGTATCAAATAAAATCGAAAAAAAAAAATAAAATAAAATAAAATAAAACCAAATTAAATATATATTATATTTAATAAAATAAATTATATAAATTATATATATATATTTTTATATAATTTAATATAATATTTATAATATTATATAATTTTAATTAAATATTAAAATTATATATATAAAATTATTATATATATAAATATATATAATATTAATATATGTTATATCTAACATAGTTAAATATGTATATATAATATAGTTATAATATAGTTATATGTATAGATAATATAATGATATATATATATATGTGTGTTTGTATGTGTTTTTTTTTGTGTTTCAGTTTTATCTCTTTTTCTTGTAAAAGTTTTCTATAGTAAAAGGTTATTCGAGTAGGTAGGTAGGTAGGGTAGGTATGTCTGAAACTTGAGTTTCGACGTATGAAAAGGTTGGCAACGAAAGGACATTATTTGTTCGTAGTTCTTTGTGTTAGAAAAGCGCGTTAACGTGTGTAACTGCAAATTACTTACTTGTTCTACTAAAAGGGAAACGATGAACGCGCGAAAGTGTGGAATTTCACTTTTGAAGTGAAGAAGAAGAAGAAGAAGAAGAAGAAGAAGAAGTTTTCAACGAGGGGGCCCACTTAAACGCGATTCCTTCCTTTCGATTGCACGAAGTTAAGTAATACCAAGACAACTGGTTTAAGAGAGTATAGCATTAGTTTCGAAGATAGATTAAGTCTTTATCGTTGTGAACATTCCATTCATACCCTGGTATTTATATTTTATTCTTAGTTCGAAGAAAAGTTACGTTTAGAACAATAGATGTCGTGTCAAACATATATGATGCCTTCTTCTTTCTTCTTTATAATACTCTCGTTTTATATATATATATATATATATGTGCCTATAATTATGAAAGTGATCTAAGTGAAAATTAATAAAAAAAAAAAATAAAAAAAGGAATTTATCAGTTATTACGCACTATATTATTATTAACTAAATAAATTCAATGTAATTTGAAAACGATATTATCAAAAATCAATCGTTAGATAATGTTCAAATAAAAATCTTGAAATATTTCGAAATAAGAGATATTATATGACTTAGTTAGACCACTTTCATTATTATGGGCACATATATTTATTATTATTATTATTATTATTACTTGTATTGTTACGAATACGTATTTTCTTGTTGTTGTTTTTTTTTTTTTATATATTATAATTTTATAATATTTTTTCGAAAAATTGTTGAACAATCAAATTAATAATTATATACTTAAGTTTGTTTTATTTTATTTTCTATTCGATTTTATTTCGTTATTTATATATATATATATATATATATATATATAGATATATGTATTGTAGTATTAATTTATTACTAAACACCTGTAATAATATGTGTGTGTGTGTGTGTGCAAAATTTCAATATAAAATAAATCAAACATATTGAAGTTGAAATTAATTAATAAAATAAAATAAAAAAAGAAATAATAATTCACGTATTATTCGTGTGAAAAATTCTTTTGTCACGTCTTTAGAATATAAATGATAAATATACATATATATATATATATATATGTATATCAAATAAATTTCAATTTTAATCGATTAATAATAACCTAGCACGAAACATTATTATCATATCGTTCGAGTTAAGGAATTTGAAAAGCCAGCTACAAGACCCTTTCCCTTTCCACCCTTTTTTTTCCTTCTTCTTCTTCTTCTTTCTTCTTTCTTCTTTCTTCCTTCTTCCTCTTCTTTTCTCAACCTCGTTTTCGAGAATCCAATGAATTCCATCAGAATATTTCTCAAATATTTCAATATACATCGAAGATCGTCTATGAAGAATAAAAATAAGAAAAAAAAAATAAAAAAATAAAAGAGAGAATGAGAGAGAGAGAGAGAGAGAGAGAGAGAGAGAAAAAAAAAGAAAGAGAAAAAGAGTGAAAGAGATAGAGAGACGTTAAAAGGATGCCTGCTGGTTTCTTTAAATTGAACACGATTTTTCATACGATACTGCTAAAAAATTCTTTCAAGCTTTTACTCGTTGCCAGAGAGAGAGAGAGAGAGAGAGAAAGAGAGAGATTAAATTTGAAAAAAGATAAGTTAAATAGATAAAGTTAGAGATAGATAGATAGATAGATAGATAGATGGATGGATAGATATAAGTTGAAGAAAAGAAGAAATAAGGGA